AAAATAAAATACGTGTAGCAAAAATTACTATTATAAAAATTATAGATTTACAGCCCCAGTATGTGATCAAAGGTCTCCAAGTTGCTATCACATAAAAGCTCTGCTCTGTCATGGAGGAACATTACAGCTCCTCTATTGTTCTCAAACACAGCTCAGGTCAAAGAAGTAGCATAACAAATCAATTAATGTCCTACCTGCCTCCCTCACTAATTAGAGACTCAGCTTCTCTCTCTGCTCTTGATATTTGAAACTTCTCAGAAGGTGAAGATTAAAGTAGCAGCTCTCAGACTTTTCCAGAGGGTTTAGTTTTTAAGCCTTACCTTCCCTGACAAGTATGGATTCAGCTGAGGTGAAAGAGCATTAGGAAATTTTACCATCTCTGCTGCTTTTATTTATTTTTATTCACCCCCATAAGCACAGTCTGTTAAACACTTCAACAAAAGAACATCTTTATTATCTTACCTCCAATTCTGGTTCTAAAAATACTCAGATAATCCAGAATATTGAACCTAATTGCTGTTAAACCTAGTTATTCATGTTCTTCCCTGTTCCAGGAAATGTGGCCACAGCACACCTACAGTAAAGGTCTCATCAACATCCCTGGTTTTGTAATCATCTTTCAGATATGAACCAGCACTGTTCTTTTTTTTCCATAAGAGAAATTCTTCAGTCCATGTGTCTGAATTCCCACTGGACCATTTAGATACATGTTTTCTACTCTTTCTCCTGGTCATTCCACTTTGAACAATGAGGACATGTAAGTTCTGTCATTGTTATTTGGCTTTCTCTATTTTCCATATCCAAGACTATATTCTAGCAAAACTTTCAAATTCCTTTCCTTTTACTCTTCCTCTTTTAGGCAGAGGGACCATCCACCAGCACTAAATCCTAATCCTTAATCCTAGGGTTCTAATCCAATATAATTATCAAATATGCAGATTTTTGTTTCCATTACACAACTTGTGAGTTTAATAGAAGAACTTGCTCAGCTTCTTGGACAAGCACATGATTTTCATATTCACGCAATTAAATGCAATAAATGTAATTAAATGGACTGAACCCTGCACATGTGTGTATCACACACGAGTGAGGCTTCTGTGCACATGGAAGCTGCTCTGGATTGATCAGAGCACGATGACACCTGGTAAATGCCTGGTACACAAACCCGAGACAAGAAAGCAGCAGTGTTTTTGCAGGAATTTTGGGTTTGGAAGGGTTAATCCAGAGCTTCAATCTCCTTTGAACACAGCATTTATGAACCATATCACACACCAGACTGTGCACTTGGAGCTTTCACTGAAACCAGTGGGAGTCATGGCTTCTTCCAGCAGTGAGCCATACACACATAAACTGAATTAAAATATATTGTTTACATACCCCAAACTTAATAATTCACAGAACCCCTGGCACGGTACCACAGGACTTTCCTGCAGACACAACCACTTCTCCAGAGCTGGTTTTTCTTTCTGGCAGCTGACCCTCAAACCATTTTCAGACATAAACTGGTGTTTTCTTAACCTGCTGTAGGTGGGCCAGGGACTGTGGAGGATTTGGGTGCTGTCAGTGCTCCCTGCTGGGCTCTGCCCAGCCCCAAAATGTGCCCAGCACAGCCCAGGGAAGGGCAGAGCTGCCTCTGTTCTGTGTGCTCATCATTTCAGGGTGCTCATCAAGAAGCTGAGCAAGAATAGCAAGCAGAGCCCAGCAGAATGAGGATTATTCCTGACAAGTCTCAAATGAGCTACTTTATTTTGCTTTTTTTTCTCAGTTTAGACAATTTTTAAAAATTTATTTTATTTCTATAGGTTTCTTCATTCCTTCTTGATTTTCAATAATTTACAAGTTAAAAATTTTAGAATTTTTTTTTAACGTTTCTAAAACGTTAGATTGAGTCAATCCTCCACCCCCAATTTATCTCAAACATCTTGACAGGTTCCAATTACCATAGTGGTTGACTGTTAGTTTTATTTTAACTGGACCCTTATTCACAGCAACCTTTAGGTTAGGAAGGAATTGTTTCCTGGGAGGGTGGGAAGGGCTGGCACAGGGTGCCCAGAGAAGCTGTGGCTGCCCCTGGATCCCTGGAAGTGCCCAAGGCCAGGCTGGATGGGGCTTGGAGCAGCCTGGGATGATGGGAGGGGTGGGATTGGATGAGCTTTAAGATCCCCACCAACCCAAACCATTCCATGATTCTATGAAACTCTCACTTCATGGTCCAAATTTATCTCAAGTGTATCAGCTCCAAGCTGGAATAACAGTTTAAAGAAACTGGTGGGGGTTCCATCCATTAAACCACAATTAGGGAACAGTTAGCAAAGGTTTCTAGTACCCAATATTTAAGATGAATGATGTAATTGCATCATAAGCTAATAAATAATTGATATCTACATCATATGTCATATGCTACATCATATATGTCATATCTACTATGATGTCATATGCTGACATCATTCTCAAAAATGCAAGTTTGTCCAGTTATCTTTCTCTGTGAGCAGTTTTTAGACAGAAAGGTGAATTTTAATTCTAATTTTCCCTAAATCTTTCTTTGATGACACCTTGAACAGTACAAAATGTTTTAATGGAAAACAAGTAACTCCAGCAAGATGATTGTATAGTTATAAAATATTCTGATTTTCCAAAAGCAGATGGAAAAAGCTTATGCTGAAAGATATTTTTCAGGAAATGTTAGAAGCATCTCTTCAATGGATTTCATGTTGATGGAAACACAAAATGATATAATGATAAAGGACAGAATCCAATTATTCTAATATTTTATTTCTGTCAGAGGCCAATTTTAGACATTCCAGGGAAAAGCAGAAAACCATTTCTGAACAATACAGAGACTCAATGGAAGAATTTAAAAACCAGAGCAGGTGTTGGAAAATTGTATCTGCCTTTTTTTCTGTTTGTTGTCCAAAAATGCAAATTGCTTTTTACCAGAAACCTTCCAGCTACGTTTTAGCTTGACAAAATTTAGCATCTATTCATGCTAGTGCTGAGAAATAAAGCCATAAATGTCAGCACACAGCAGTCTGGGTTTTATAATCACATGTCTCTCAACATCCTTCTACATAATGCCTAGGACCAGGTAATTACAGGGAAATTTTTAAAAGTCTCCTAATTAAATAAAATTAGGACAGAAAAAAATAGAGAATTAAGGAAACTTGTGAATTGAGGCTGCCAAATATGGATAATTGGCATAATTTTCCTTAGTAACTAAAATATGTAAACACCAAAGCTATTAAAAATCAGCAATTTACATTCACATTTAAGATTCTTTAAAATTTATAAAGTATATCAGCTTTGTTAATGGCATAAATAGAGCTATGAAATCAGGGAGCCTAACATCAAAATTTCTATTTTCACACCCCTGAAAAGAATCTTTTCCATGTTAAAGACACTCTCACCCAGTCCTCCAACTTAAACCAACACAATTTTCTCAATTCCTACCTCCAGAAGAATGAAACTACAGAAATCACATCCTTCAGTACATTTCTGAAAATCCCTGTCCCACCCAACCTCTCCACTGGATATTAACTGGCCTTTATTTCAGGCTGCTTTGGTACATTCTACCTCAGGTAATATGCACCAAAATTTGGTGCTCCTTTGATAGTTCAGTCAGGGCTTTGAAGGGCTCACGTGAGCATCTGATGTGGCTTTGTATCTAAATATCCCAGTGGAAGGAAACCAGGACTACAGCAGTGGGAGGACTGGTATAAATCTAAAAGGACCAGCAAAATTCTCTCTTTTTTTTGTCTATAACTATGAAATAAATGGGATTCCAGTGCAACCTAAAGTTGTTGCACTGCATGCTTTGACAGATATTAATGTGGCACCTGGACAGCATTCCAAAGTTTTCTATAGATAACCTAAGCATTTCAAAAGAAGGAAGAATACTCATTCTGCCTTATATGAAGCTGAAGATTTTACTTTCAAGTGTGTTAAATATACATTTTCCATTCTGTGTGCTTTATTTTATTTCCAGAGCTGGACAATCTTGGTTATCCACAATATCTTGCATCCATTTGGGAATTATTTGCACAAGATTCCCCTGCTGACAGTTCCCATTAGCACACATTCATTTTCACATAATTTTTTTTTTTTTTGTGGCATTTGTGAAATTCCTTTCTTCAAGTGGATATGAAAGGTTATTCCTTTAACAGTCCCTTCCCCACAGGTAGATAAGTCTCATTCAAGGAAGCTGTCGCTCAGCATGACCACGAGATCAAAGGGGCTGCAGCAGAAAGACAGGCTCTGAATCTGTGAGGGGCCACTTGTCCCCTAAGCCCTGGCTGATGTTCACATCAAATAATTGTCCAGGTCTATCCCAACCCTTCTGACATTGTGGCTGGAAGAGTGGGATTGCCAGGAATACTGCCTCAGGTCAGCTTACATTCTAATCAGTCACTTCATTAATTAGTGCAAAATGTATTTGATTGGTGTAACCTCCTTCTCCTGGGCACTGAAACACACAGAAAACCTTGGGTAGTGCCCACAGCAGGGTGAGATGATTAACTGCACACTCACCCAAAGTTTGCTCTGTGGCCACCAGCACATCTCAAACCAGAATTGATTCCTGGTCCCTCTGAGGACCAAGAGCTGGCAGTGAAATGAAGGCAGATCTCTCCTGTAAAGGCTGAGTTACAGGAATTGTGGAAACCAAAACAGGGTCAATGGGAAAGAGGAAGATCTAATTCCTAATTTCTGTGAGAATGGATATCTCAACAAGGTATTCATTACAAACCTGTGCAAACCTCATTGAGAAGGGAGAGGACTTCTGCTAATGAGATCAGAACCCACTGATATATATGGAGTTTTGTCTGAGTGAAAATCAGCAATTTTAGCATCTTTCTGTATTATTTATGTTAAAATGTAGTAAAAACAGGAGGTACTGGAAAGGTGGCTCAGGGACAGAATGATCTAATAACTACTAGCTCACAGATAAGGGTAAAGAATACACTGAATTTATAAAACCTTTATAAAAAAAAAAATCAAATCCTTACCTGTATTATGGGGCACAACAGTTTCTGTTCCAAACGAGAGCTGAGCCCTCTCATGAAATACAAGCTCCCACCTCAGGAAGGAACAGTCTGGGAGCCCAGTGCCAGGTGAGCAGCTCTGGACTCTCTTGCCCTTCCTTGATCACTAGCCAGTGTCCCCCATTGACTTTGGGCAGAAAAGATGATACTTGGGAGATCTTAAAAAGTCCTTGGCATACAGCAGAATTAGGGCCAGCCAGACTCTGTGCCCTCAGTATTTTTTGATACCCCAATTTTAGAGGTCTGTCAAGCACCAGGCACCCTGAACAGACAATTCAATTGCATAATTTGCCTTCAATTTTCTGTAGCTGAGCCTGAGCTGGGAATTCAGCTGCAAGCATTTCAACATTGATGATTCACTGTTTGAAGGACCTCCAGGGAAGCCCTGCAGTACCTCCAGACAAAGTTCTCACCTCTGGCTTTTCTTGGCTTGCAGGTTTATTACCCACCGGGGAGTTGAGAGGTATAATACATCAAAACACAACCTAAATTCCAGGCTCATACATGTGCTGATGGACCCTGGAGCTCCTAATTATAATTACATATTCATATCAGCTGAATGAAATGCTAAATCAGCCTTGATCCCACTCTGTGCCTCTGCACAAAGCCACAGCTGATGTTGATTCTCAACTGGAAGAATGGGAGGGGGTACAGGAACATCCAGCTGTTGTGCATTTGACTCAAGAAATCATTTACTTTCTGATGTGCAAAATGATGAGAATAAAATAATGGGAGCAAAATAATATTCCCCACCCTGTGATTTACAAAAAAAATTCCTAATGACCTCAAACCTAAGGCTCTAATGAAAGGACAATAATGGCAATAATAATGGGAAATATTGTTTAAAAACAAGCCTTTTTTCAATTAATGCACATTTTTACACTTTGTTTCCTCCTTGAAAGTTTGGCCAAAACAAATCTTCCTAAAGTTAATTTGTCTCAGGAGTAAAAGGGTCGATGCAGCATTACATGTTCATGCTCTGGATTCCAATAAAAGAGTTGTTACCATAGCAAAAAGTATTGTTGCAAAGACAACTCACACAACATAAGATTAAAGAAAAAAACCTCCAGAAATATTTACAATGCTCAACAATAGCATAGGATATTCTGTCCTAATTACCTCAAATGAGACTGTGCTATTGCTGTGATACTGGCTCCTTTCAGACCCATTTTCCAAAAGGCAAATCTCTAAATTGTTTGGTTTTTTTCAAAATCATATCAATTACTTTTAAGATTATGTACATCATAATGGCCTGAGGCTTGTTAAGGATTGGAGAAAAGACATATTGTGTAAGATCTGTACATAAATTGTAAAAAAAGACAGGTCATACCTTATATTCTGGGTTAATTTCAGGAAACAGAGGAACAAAGGGGGAAAAAAGGGCTGAGAAATATGAATGGAAAGACAAGGCAGCAGATATCTGAATAGAGATGCTCATGAAGTTTGGCATGCCAGCATTGTTCAGCAAGAATTTTGATAGGAGGTAGTTTTAAAAGTTTTAAATAATAAACTGTGAGTTTTGTAGGCTTTCTTAGACACCTCAGATCGCAAGAGAAAGCATGGAAATGATTGCAGGAGCAGATTCCCATGTGGGAAAAGCTCACACTGCTGGAAAGTGAAGACAGCTGTAAATGATGCAGCACCAGCTGAGATACTGAACAAGTGGAAGAGTGAAGAGCAAGACAGCAGAACGTGTGAAATAGGATGAAGAGCCAGGAAAATGATCTAAGGAGCAGAGTTTGAAGGGACAAAAGAGCAAGGGCAGAGGGGAAGGCTCTGCCTTGGTAAAACCTGAGCCAAGAGGAGCCCAGAAACATCTCTGCAAATGAGGGTACTTGGAGATGGACAGGACAGAGGTTCTACATGCCCTGCTGAAGAGACAGAAGGATTACCCCAGAGACAGCCAGGCTAGAGAAGAGACAGCCAGGCTGAAAAAGAAATTGAGATCCATCCTTTGGCAACAGGAGAATGCTCTGTCTGCTCACAGGAGTGAAAGGAAAGGGGAATGCCATAGAAATGTAGGGACTAGGATTTGAGAGAAATGGTCTAAAAAAGGGAACAAAGAGTAAATGGAAAAATCAGAGGTGTGACGGGAGGAGAGTAGTGAAGGAGTTCACTGAAGAGGGAAGTGATGAGATTGGAACATGATGTGGGAGTCACAGGGTGAAAGCTGTAGGACAACAGCAAATGGACATAAATGAGCAGCCTAAGATATTAAAATAATGTTTAAGTTCTTAATTAACCATCATAAGACCTTTGACCACACATTGTAAGGATTATTTTAGTAGTTTGTAGGGAGAAGGGCGACATTTATGGACTTGAATAAATCCTTTAAAATGCTTACACTGCAAATCAAATGTCACAAGGCAGAATTCCACCCCTCCAGGTGGTCAGCCTGCCCAGGACACACAACACACTCTGCCTGATTTGCCACTAGAAAGAGATGGAGAAACAAACCTCCTCTCTAGGTTTCAAGTGTAGAGGTGTAATGATTATAAAGCACTTCTGTCCCTGTTTCTCTGCACTGTCTCCAGAGCATCCTTTCCAATTTTTCACTATTTTTAACACTGTTTTTACAGCCTTGCCTTCCTAAATTCCTTTTATTTCCTTTACCACTCTGCTCTTGCCCTGCCCCTCATCCACTGCCCTCCAACTTTTGTACCCCAGTGAGGCAGAGCCTTCCTCTTCTCCAGTGCCTTAGCACAAGTCAGGAGGAGCACAGGGAGCTTAGGAGAATCAGCCATTCCTATTTTTCTCTCTTCTGACCAGACTTATTACAGCTACAGTGCAACCAGGGCATGCCAATGCTTGCTAAGGCCTCTCCATGCTCAGTTTGTCTGTCAAAGGAGCTGCATGTGAGCTGATTCCATATTGGAGCGCTGTGGTGGCACCTCCCAAAAGTACAGCTGAAAAATTCAAATTTCTCTCCCCTGAGCAAGTTAAAATTGTCAGTTTTCAGATCCAAAAATGAAGTCTTCACTGCAGGCCATGGAAGCACTAATATTTCTCCAAATTTCTTGGGTTTCTCACATATACATACACATGGCCATAATTACCTTCATACCTACACAGAGCCCTGTAAACATGGGTAAAAAATATGTCTTTTTTTTTTTCTCCCTAATTCCTGTTGGAAAAATGGCTGAGGATTTTAGAGTAAACTCTTAAAAATATTTGCCCAAGGGAGACAGCATGGAAAATTTTGGCCAGAATGATTTAAGTTTGGCAAAGCCATAAGCAACATAAAACAGGACCTTATAATAGAAAGTTTTGGGCAGCCTTATGGCAGACACCACGATTTGTGCTGTTTGTAAGACTTCATTTTCGTTAATAGGAGCTGCATGGCAGGGCTGGAATACCCTGGGGCTTCCTGTCTTTAATTTCCTTTGAATATAATCTTGGTCTTAAGCCTTCCTTCCTAAATAACCTCTGTCTTTAATTTATTTTTTTTAAGCAAATTACAACTTAACGAGCACACATTCTCGTAAGACAGAGCCTCTAATTATCAAAATGACAGTGCTGCTTAGAATCTGAATTTCACAGTCATTCAGTGACCAATTCCACAGGTCAGCAAATAATTATACACCATCCCTGCCAAAAAATAATTAAATAGATATTATAATGCATCACTGTGTACACCTACACCTTGCATCACTCAGTCACCTGGATGTTTCTTGCAGAGTTTTGATGAAGGGAGCAGCAGGGAGGTGCAGATGTGCAGTCCCAATTGGCCACACAATTAATGAACATTTAGAAGGGGTTTCTCAACCCTTATTCAGGCACAAGTACATGTAAGAGACACTGGGATGTAGCTCACTCGTGGATACATTAGGCAAAATTATTCTGCTAGAAATCATTTTACTTTACTTATCTTGCTAGGAATAACTTTTAGATCCTTAGAAAGGATGGTGTAGTTTTGTAGGATTGGCTTTGCAGGTTTTCTAGACTTGCAGTACTTCCATGTTTCCTCATCCTCTGATGAGACATGGAACAGTCACTGGTTATGAAGCTGAGAACTTTTAAATATAAACCAAGTTTGTTGCAGAGTCCTTAATTCCTGAATCTCCCAGGGCAGCACATTTTAAGCTGGAATATGGCATTTGGAATTCCTGCCAGTTGCTTTGGGCCTCTACTGCAGCATTAATGCTCAGAAATTCCAGTGGAGTTTCTTTATGCTGCTTATAGAAACGTGCCCGGTGCTGACCCTAAATGCCCCCCATTATTAATCCCTGCACTTCCATTATTACACACATCCCACACTTGAGGGGCTGAGATCCAAGCTGTGACCCAAGGAAAAATGGGCACTCCCTAAAGTGCTGGGGAGTTCTGAGACCACCCCTCTCCATGACCTACCCCTTCAACCCCCATTTTTCTCTTTGCTACCACATGTGTAAATCCATGTGACATTTAGATCTAAGAGGAAAAGAGCCATTTTCATGGTGTTCACCCTTTGCAGAGGACGTCAAGAAGGTTTTAATTTCTTGTTCTGGTTGCAGACTGCCTGGGGTGGCTGCAGGCTGCCCCACTAAACTCTCCTAACACACTTAGTGGCCAACAGCCTTCAGTAGTTACCAGCTTTGGACCAATGTTGAATTAGAACAGATTATTTCTTCATTCCTATGCCAATTTCCTTAATTTAGTCATACAACTCCTTTACAATGTATTTTTAAGATTATTCTTTGTGTGATTTTAGGGGTTTCTGTATATAAAAAACCCACATATAGCTTTTCTTTAGTGGCTAACAAAATTATACAGCAATATCCTTTGAAAAGCAACTGCCAGTTGTTTCAAGTAGTTGTTCAGAGTGAAAATTAGTCTAAAAATCGTAAATCATTCCTATAATTAATCAGCAAAATTATACAACAAAGCTTTTAATCCCTCCTTTGAATATGAATGAAAATTCCTGAAATACTTGAGTTGCCTTATTCAAGGTAAAGACCTGACTCGAGGAAAATTGATCCATCTTGAAAGCAAACTAAAAAATAAGGGCTACACACATCTTCATGTGTGTTAAGCTAGTCTAAGTAAAAAGATGACTAACATCACCCTAGATTCAACTTTCCACAGCAATTAGCTAAAGTATCTCAATTTATCTTTCTCTGACAGTTTATGATTTTAAGGAAATTTGAGATGTTTGGGTTGTTGGGGTTTTTTTTTCTTTTTAATGGACATTTTAGCACCATCTGCTGGTGTTAAAACTTGCTCTGGAAACTAAACACCAGCTTCCTCCTTCATTTTAACTTCCTTAAGGCCTGCTTCTGGCTCTTATTAGGAAAGGTTAATTGCTTGCTTTTCTAGTAGAGATCCCAGGATTGGATAAGTAATTCAGCTGAATGAATCATCCAGATGCAGGATATCTTCTGAGACCATAGAGCAGTAGCAACAGACTATTATAGAAATATCTCATCTACAGCTACATCCAAGGGTAAGTGCAATTGGTTTTCACCATATAAAAATGACAACCACCAGCCCTCATTCTTTAAGAGGTAATAGAAAGTTTTTTCCACTGATTTATTCTGGGTTCATACTGGTATTTAGACTACAGAATTATGCTGTGGTATTGCAGATTTAATGTCTGGGAGCACAGTCAAAAACCGACCTGCTAGAATTACCTCTGATGGTATCCAGTTATATGACTTATTCCATCTAATTCATCCAGTTGCTTTTTTATTCCCTT